TGTATATATATATATACACTGTATATATATATATATATATATTTTGCTACAAGTATCTTGTTTAAGGATGGTTAAATGATCAAATAGAAAACAAGACCCAAAAAATACCAAATAAAGATGAATTTTGCAACCAAAAGGCCCTCAATTACTTTTAGACAAGTTTTATCACATACTAATAGTGCATATATTATTAGAGAGAATTAACAATAAAAAGATAACTAAAGGTCAGGTTGTTCTGTCTGCAGGCTGTGTGTTGTAAGGATAGATTCCACTGCTGTCCACACAGCACCATTTGTGACTTTGTAACACTCACCTGCAATAGCAACACCACATACAGTGGGTACGGAAAGTATTCAGACCCCCTTAAATTTTTCACTCTTTGTAGTGAAAAATTTAAGGGGGTCTGAATACTTTCCGTACCCACTGTATGTACTTATGTCAGACATAATCCCACCCTCAGCTAAGGAGGAACAGAAACAGCACGAGGACGTGAAAGAGAGAGTGGGGAAGTACAATAGCAGGGTTCCGAGTGATGCACAAACGTCCTGTCCAGATCACACTACTTGCTGTCTTATTGCACAAACCAACAAATGGGGCTGTTGCCCTCTGCCTAATGTGAGTGTGAACACAGAGATGTTTATTTGTGATAAACATCTTCTAAATTCTATGCAACCCATGTTCTGCAGGTTGTTGTTTTAGTGAACTACCTGTTTTTCTGATTTTATCATCATTATATCGCATCTATTATAAAGGCCCTTTGTTTTGATGAGTGTATATATAGTTCCAGGTACTTCCTTGTGCATGTAACACAAATGCACAGTCCTCACTGACTTGAAAATCGATACGAAGTACAATACTGTTTAAAAATGTTGTGGTCTGTTTTTTTTTTAAAGAAATTAATACTTTTATTCAGCAAGGATGCTTTAAGTTGATCAAAAGACATTCAAGACAGTAAAGACATTTAAAGGGGTCATATGATGCTGCTAAAAAGAACATTATTTGGTGTAATGAAATGTGTTCATGCGGTTTAAAGTTACAAAAACATATTATTTTCCACATACTGTACATTATTGTTTCTCCTCTATGCCCCGCCTTTTTGAAACGCGTCGATTTTTACAAAGCTCATCGGTCTGAAAAGCGAGGTGTGCTGTGGTTGGCCAGTTATCCAGTGCGTTGTGATTGGCCGGATACCTCAAGTGTGTGACGGCACCAAGAGCTTGTAACACTCCAAAGATAAAGGAAAAATTGAAATCGCATCATATGACCCCTTTAACATTTAACATTTAACATTTAAGATTTATTTTTATTTCAAATAAATGCTGTTCTTTTGAACTTTCTATTTATCTAAAAACACAAAAATGACAAAATATGACATAAGAAGAAATGTTTCATGAGCAGCATATTAGAATGATTTCTGAAGGATCATGTGACACTGAAGACTAGAGTAATGGCTGCTGAAAATTCAGCTTTGCCATCACAGGAATAAATTATATTTGAATATATATTTAAATGGAAAATGGATATTTTAAATCGTAATAATATTTCCCGATATTACTGTTTTTTTTTTTTATCAAATAAATGCAGTCTTGGTGAGAATAAGAGACTTATTTTAAAAACAATCGGACCTACCAATCTGATTTTTTTGAAATGGTATGCAGTTTGTTTTGCAATTTTTAAATCAAATAGAGTTTTAAAGGAGCATGGTGTGAAGGTCAGATTGCCCATAAGTGTTCAGCTTGAACCTTTTTCTCATTTTTTCTCAGGCTGTATGTTGCACAGATGGTGAACACTGCTGTCCGGCTAACTATAAGTGTGATGTGACCAGGGTGTCTTGCATCAAGGGAGATGTGGTGATCCCCTGGTACAATAAAATTTCTGCTCAAAGCACACCGGCTCCAAGCTTGGATCTCGATGCTGTTAAGTGTGACAAGCAGTCAAGTTGCTCTGCAGATTCAACCTGCTTTTATCTGTCCACGGGAGAAAGGGGCTGCTGCCCTCTTCCTGAGGTAAGAATATGTGTATGTGGACTGGCTACAGAAAATCTATTCACGTTCAATATTTCATTTCATATGCATCTTATATGCCATAGGCTGTTTGCTGCCCAGACCGGGAGCACTGCTGTCCCAAAGGCTACAAGTGTGATCTGCGTAGACGCTCCTGCATTAAAACCACCTGGCTGCATGTGGAAATAGTCCCACTTGCCCACATTGGTGGCCAAACGCTACAGTCCAGTGTCTCAGAAAAGGACATTCAGTGTGGAGGTGGATATAGTTGCAAAAACAGTGAGACCTGTTGTCCAACCTCCCAGTCCACCTGGGGCTGTTGCCCATCTCCAAAGGTAATGCATTAAACCTTAAAACAATAGTTCACCCAAAAATTTAAAATGTGTTCTCAATTACTCAACTTTATATCATACTTGAGAAGATAAAAATACTTATTTTCACAGAATATATCTGGAATTAAGTTAGTTATTTTTTTATTTTACGCATAAACACAGCAATAAATAAATAAAAATGCCCATGTAGTAAAAATAAAATTGACTCTGAAAACAGGTTTCATTAACTCTCAAGTGTATCTTGTTTAAGGATGTCTAAATATTTAATGGAAAACAAGAATAAAAACATTTTTGCAACCAAAAGGCAAGCACTTAAGGTGAAGTATTAAACCTTAAATGGATAGAAAGGAAAAAATCTGTCATCATTTACTCACATCCATGTTGGTCCAAAGTTTCTTTCAGCTGTGGAACACAAAAGAAGAAATATTTTGTGTCTGTATTTTTTTATCCATACAATAAAAACCATTGGGGTCCAATGTTGTTTTAAAACACCAATGACTTTCTTTATATGCACACAAACAGTGGAAACATTATTTAGAATATCTTTTTTAATTGTACATGTTTGGAACAACATGAGGGTGAGTACATTATGACAGAATTTACATTTCTGAGTGAACTATTACTTTAAATCTTACATGTAACGGTATATGCTCAAAGTTAAAATTCATTTAAAGAAGGTAATGGTTTAAAGATGTTCCAGTGCATAATAGCTGCATCAGAGAATTAATTTCCTTTGAATATATTAATGGAAATGGCCGCACTGTCTTGTGATCTCAGTTCTATTGACTTTTCTGTAAATTCAAATGGCAGTCAAATTGTAAATGTTTATCTTAGTCAAGTTCCTATTTTTGTCCATGTCCTTTCCCTTACTCCTCTCTTTCCTTTGTTATTGCTCTCTCTGAAGGCGGAGTGCTGTGATGATATGAAACACTGCTGCCCTGCTGGATACAAATGTGGCGAGGGTGGAATTTGTACTTCAGCCTTAAGCTTTGACTGGAAGAGCTGGAAAAACTGGAGGGTGTTCTTCTCCAAAAAGAAACGAGCTAGTACTCTGTAAAAAAAACAACAACAAAACACCTGTGTTGTTCCCACTCAGTGGCGTAAATGGCCAACACTCCCTAAAGTGTCATATTTTTAAAAATGTTACATTTATCAAAGTACTAATCAGAAACAGTCAGACATTTTTATTTGCAGGAGAAAGTTTCATTAGGGCTGAATGTGATGGTTACTATCTGTTCCCATTGTCTATCAGTAATACCAGCTACATATTATCCACTGAGCCATTTTACACTCTACATTTACACTTATACTGTCCATTTTAAGAATGGGTCATTATAAGTGTACACTGTTCTTAATTTTTGATGGTTTCCAGTGTTTTGGTTACTGCTCAGTTTATCTGAAGAATAAGTTGACTATGGAATGATGAACAGATGAAACACATATTGAAGCATAGAGGACCTCTAGTGGCTGGATTTAATTCACACGTCTGTCATTATAACTTGCCATGTACAAATATCACAGGCCTCTATGGTTTACAGGTTACATTTTTTCAGACTTGACATAACATGATCTTGTGTCTTGTGATTATGACCACATTGCCCTGGACAAGGAAACACAATAAATTGATATCTTCAGATAACAAACATCACCTTTTCTGTGTAACTTCCTTATTGCAGCTCTTTACCATTAGTTGTGTAATTGTCATCTTTATTGATTTAAGTGCTTGTTTTTAACAGTTATATTGACTGAGCATTGTAATAGATAACTAAAAGTTTTCTTAAGTAAAAATGTGACCAATCTGAAACCGTGAGTTAAAGAGATAAAAGAAAATTGTCTGTCTTTTGAACCTTCTTTTCACTTTCAAATTTATCCAAATTCAAATGTATTAAATTTATTTAAAATTCATATAGATTTATTACAATTGTTAAAAAAGTCATATTTATTTTGTATTTTATACAAATATATAATAATTACAAACAGGCACGCAGAATTTTTTTCCCCCCAAAATGAAGGTATGTTAATTCATTGTGTATATAAGAAAGTCGAAATTTTAGGTGTTGTGACTGATCAACCAATTTTTCACAATTTATTTAATGTTTCACATCACCTTTTGCAAGGAATGTAATTTTTAAAAGTAAAAATAATACTTTTAGTTTTGTGTGTAATGTGTCTGTAAAAAATAGCTTGTAGGCCATAACTTGCTGGGGAAAGAAAGAAAGAAAGAAAGACCACCCTAAGCTTATTTGTTTGTCTCACCCATAGACTGTAAAAAAGATGGACGACGCGTCTCCACCATGGTCTCCACTTACCTAACGCTCTTAAGAAAATGACGTCATTTGAAACCAGAGTCTGCGCAGTAGTGATCGTGAGGTGGAGCCGTGGTATCAAAGTCCCGCCCAAACTCCGCAGACCCAATCGCAAGCTCACAGTCTTGAACATATATCAGCATGCTAAGAGCTACCTAAGATGACAGAAAATGTCTTTGGAAAAATATTATTGGAAGTGTAATTTGATTGTTTAGTTTGTCTCGGGTCCCATTACATTACATGGAGAGGGCGGGGTTTATGACCTGTACTGCAGCGATCGAGACGCCTTGGCTTCACTTTTTAGGATTCGTGCGGCACACTTGGTCTCACCTGGTTAGAAAGAAGACCAGTGAACCAGAAAACGAGGCTGATTAATATATATATATATATATATAGTTATAAATTATTTATTTACTTATTTTTGCATAGTAAGAAAGAGCCATAGACTGTATAAAAACAACCCGGAAAATACAGAAATGGAGTTTATAAAAACTTGAACGACAGCCACAGGCAGACGGCAGCAGAACACAGATAACAGACCAAAGAACCCTTCAACTGTTGCTGCAGTTAGGATCTACCAAATCCATCTGGGGTGCGTTTCCCAAAAGCAAAACTAATAGTTTACCAATAGAATTCAATGGAATTTGCAACCATAGTTATCTAACAATGCTTTTGAGAAACCCCTGGTCGATGGTGCTAATAAAAATCTCTGCTGGGACAGAACAGTCCAAGGGTGTGTTTGGCACGCAGTCCAACCCACTGACTGACACTTAGGGCGTTGCAATAAAACAAACACAGAAAGAATGGAAGGAAGCGTAAACATGGACAGAAACCCTCACCAAACTGTAAAGCCGTCGATTTCGCTGTGCGTTTCTCTGACGTCATTACGCACTAACGTAAACATCCTGCCCACACATTCGTTGATACATAGAACACATTGATAGAACGCACGATTGTTGGAACTGTGGTGCGTTGATTCCATATTACCTCAAGATCTTAGTCTTTTCGATTACGTTGCAATGTTTTCTGAAGGTATTACACAGCGCTGCACCTGCTAAAGCGGTGGTTGCGTATATTCTGAATTCACGTTAAAACAATTGCGCATCAATTAAGTTGGACGAGGTTGTTTTCAGTAAAAGGACAGCCAGGCTGTCTACCTCAGCTACCAATCACATGTCGACGGAGGATCTGTCCACTTCCGACAGCGAAGCTGCCTTCGCGGGAACCGGGCAGCGCTGGGCGCCCGTGGGAGCCGTGGCCAACCCGGAGGATGAGCAGTGGAAGAGAGGCACGCAGGCTGGTTCTGTGTCGTCTAGCGATGCAGACTTGGTATGCAGGTTGCGGAAGCTGGAGGATGAGCAGGAGCAGTTGAATTCATCGCTCCTCGCGTTAACGTCTCACTTCGCTCAAGTGCAGTTTCGGCTGAAACAGATTGTCCACGCGCAGAGCGACGAGAAAGAGAGGATGCTGCTGGAGCTGGAAGAGTTTGCCTTCAAAGGATGCCCTCATGTTATAGGCTGCAGGACACAGGATGCTCAGATGCTGGAAAACTCTGTGAGTTTCATTGTTTTCTGTCGTAGTGATCTCTACCCTGCAGAAAAACAAAAACATAGTAAACCAACCCAAGATCTCCCAAGACCCAGAACCAGCTGCCAATCCAGCTAAATACCAGCCTGGCCACACTGGGGTCCAGCTAAACCAGCATAAGTTAGCTTGGTCAAGCTGGAACCAGCTAAGACCAGCAAACAGGCTTAGTCTCCCCCCCCCCCAGCAGTTATGGTAACACCTACAGATCTCAAATATGACTCAAAACAAGTGCTTTGTAGGAGAATGGCATGAAACCATTTCAAATACATGTAATATACAGCAGGGCTTTTCAATCTTTTAGACACCACGGGCCCTTAATATGATCATCCTTGTGTGAGGGATCCCATCCTAAAATTGAAAAGATATTTACATAATCTCTTGTATAAAGACCCAAATTACACTGTGGACAAATTATTATTATAAGTTATTTGGGAAAATATTTATTTTCTATTAAGTTACATTATAAAAAAAATTCTACTCATTATAGTACTGTACTGTTATATTTATTATTTATTTACCTATTTTGATCAGTTTTTATCCTAATCTAGTTTTTAGTTATTTATTTATTTATTGTAATCTTTTTCTTTTTATTAATTATATATATTTTACACTGTTTTTCTGAACTTTTCAGTGGACCCCAGTTTGAAAACCTCTGATCTACAGTGTCATCAGTGTTATTTTGTTTTCAATAGGCCTGCTTCAATAGTCTTCAATAGTTCCTGTAACAATATGCACCTGTGATACACCCACACATAATAACACAAACCCCCTTTCATTCACACGTGATCAGCCTATACAATATCCCTGTGATGCCCTCAGGAATCAGCATTCAATTTGTCTGCATCTCTCTTGTTAAAAGGCATGTTTTTGTGTCATTCAAGTAACTAATCAACACCCTCTTAAAAATAATCAACACAGTATAGTGATAAAAATCACAGTAAACTATTCAAGGAACATCTGAAAGTCACTCTTTCCCTGTATTTCTTCCTGCTGGAGTATCTTGTTACTGCCATTAAAATGCATTCCTTTCCTCTTATTTCCTCCTCTGCACTCTTTGCTTGCAGGATGAATTGGTGAGTATTATGAACATGACCCTTGTGCAGTCTTTCTTTAAACTTAAGTGTTTACTTGAAGTATTCCAGATATATATCAAGTTCATACTTGATTTGGTTTTGTTTGGTCTCTTTTTCTATTTTATATTAATCAGTTACATTTTTGTTCCCCAGAAACTATTAAATGTAAATTCTTTACAAGATTATAGTCAAACTATAACCATGTTGTATGTATAGCAATGTCTATTCTGAATTGCTTTGCATTTCTGGATAAGCAAAGCTAAACCAAATGAAGCAAACTAATTAAAAGCTCATTATCCTTCATCAGAGCATATGCAAATATGTTCAGCTAGCTACAGTGTAAACATTGTTGATATTTTAAGTTTGGCTTTAGGGTTTTAAAGTTTGTTTGATTGTGTGTTTGTGCTTTTATAATATGCAGAGTGAAAGAGAGAAGAGGGAACGCTTGGAAGCTCAGAGAAAGAAGCAGAAGGAGCTGATTTTCCAGCTGAAGACTCAACTTGACGACCTGGAACGCTTCGCCTACCAGGAGGGCAGCTATGACTCACTGCCTCAGTCTGTGGTCATGGAGAGACAGAGGGTACATCTGATAATACACTCTCATATTGTTGACATCATTCTGAAAGCCATTTAAAGATGTAATGGTCTGTGAAGTGATTACCCTTAAAACCATTGTTGGGGCATTTTATTTAGTGTCTGTCCACCTCAATACTGTAGGTGATCATTGATGAGCTGATTAAGAAGCTGGATGTGAATCTGAATGAAGACATTGGAAACCTCACTCCAGAGGAGCTCCGACAGAGAGTAGACGCCGCTATAGCTCAGATAGTCAACCCGGCTCGAGTCAAAGAGCAGCTGGTGGAGCAGCTCAAGACCCAAATCAGAGACCTGGAGATGTTCATTAACTTCATACAGGGTGAGGAGGTCTGCTTATGGCTCAATGATGTGATGGTCGTTTTTGTCATATTTATGCAAATATACACCAACATTCAAAACTGGATTCTGTAAGATTTTTTTTGATGTTTTTGAAAAAAAGTCTTTTATGCTCACCAAAGGCTGCATTTATTTGATCAAATACAGTAAATGTGATGTTATTACAATTTAACAATGACTGTTTTTTAATTCTATTTTAAAATGTAATTTATTCCTGATGTCAAAGCTGAATTGCAGCATTACCCCAGTCTTTAGTCAAGTCTTATGTATTAAATAGCACTTTATACGATACAGATTGTTTCAAAGCAGCTTCACAGCAGATAATGGTGTCATTATCCAGCTTAATTCAGATTCAATGTTGAATCGATTCAGTTTAATAACAGTGTCAGTGTTGCAAAGTGCATCGATTATGAAACGACTCAGCTGTTTGTGTTCTTATTTGATAGTGTCTGTACAGTCAGATCAGTAATAATTTCTGAATATTAATTCACATGATCCTTCAGAAATCATTCTTAAATGCTGATTTGGTGCTCTGGAAACATGTATTATTGTTTACAGATTATTATTATTATTATTATTATTAACAGTTGTGCTGCTTTATATTTTTTGTGGAAACCGATGCATTTTATTTCAGGATTCTTTATTAAATAGTGAGGTTTTTTTAATCAATTTAATGTATCTTTGCTGAATAAACGTGTTAGTATAATTAAAAAATATATATTTTTATAACAATCTTTCTAACCCCAAACTTTTGAACAGTAGTGGTTATCATTGAGCTTTATGCCACTATCTGCAGAGCCCACTGTACTAGTTTCCTGTGCATAATATCTCATCTGTTACCTTTGAGTTTGATATGCCTATGTGGAGCAACATAAATACATTTAGATTACCATCCTGATCTTGCTCCTCTCAGATGAAGTGGGGAACCCTCTGTTAAATGATGGTGTGAAGAGCCAGCAGGCCCATGCTGCCGGACCAAACACTGGAGCCACTGGAGGGATGAAGCGAGGTAATTATACTTCACTTCATAATACCTTTTTTATTGGAATTTACAGCTAAGACTTGAAACTTTAAATCCCTTCTCTCTGTCCAAAGTGGATCCCGAACAGGCCCAGAGGATGCGGGAAACTGGGCTTCAGCTGATCCAGAAAGCCTTAGCGGTGCTGCAGATCTTTGCACTGAGTCAGTTCAGTTGCGCCGCGGGCCACGTGCCCCGGAACGTGTGGTCTCAGGGTGGTGAGGCTCAAGATTACGGCCCCCTGCTGCAGAAACTTGAAGGAGCCGTGGAGCGCGTACGTCTGCAAGCCTCCCGCCAGCAGCCCAACTCTCAGGAGGAACACGTGGTCAGCTACTCTGCCTGCCTGTCGCCTGGAGGACCTTGGGAGGAACTTACCGCTTCTGTGCGTAAAGAACTGGCCTTGGCGCTCCGGGACCTGCTGGCCCACGGACTGTACGCTCCTTCCCAGGGTATGAGCCTGGTCCTTGCCCCCATTTCCTGCCTGCTGCCCTTCAGCTCTTCTCCCCAGACCCTGCATCCCTGGGAACTTTTCGTCAAGTACTATCATTCCAAAAACGGCCAGGCGTTTGTGGAATCGCCCGCTCGGCAGCTCTCTCAATCCTTCAGTTTGCCTGTAGGGGGCGGTCCTGTGACAGTCACGCCCAAGCAGTCTCTGTTATGGGCCATCCATACAGTTCTCAAAGAGCATGGACGATTCAAGCGTAGTGCGGATTCTGAGTTTAAGGCCTTAGTCTGCATGGCGCTCAATGAGCAGAGGCTTGTGTCCTGGCTCAACCTGCTGTGTAAGTCTGGGACGCTCATCCACTCGCACTACCAGCCCTGGAGCTACATGGCCCAAACGGGCTTTGAAGGTGCCCTGTGCATCCTGGGCCGCCTCAGCCATCTCAAATTCAACCTTCCTGTAGATTTGGCTGTCAGGCAGCTTAAAAATATCAAAGATGCTTTCTAAACAAAAGAAATATATGGGCAATTTGGCAGGTTGAGGAAAAAAGGGAACCCTCCCAACCCTCATAATCTAAATAATTATGATAAAAATTACAAATATTACAATATAATACTAATATATAGCTTAACACAAGTTTAAATCAAATTAAAAGATACTCCCAAATCAACAAGTCCACTGGAATTAAAAAATTGGAAATGAATCAACTTGTGCACTTTCTTGAGACTCTATGTTGCTGTTGGGTCTTGTCTCTAAACTGAAGAGGATGATGATGAAGTCAGGTTTTAATATGCTGCATTGGTCACAACTAAAAGGAAATGTGCTCAGTTTAGTGACCCTGAGCGTGTAACTGCCTCCACCTTACCTTTGAGCTTGTTAAGCTTTTACCAACATCAACCACATTACTCTATGTAGAAAAATGATTTATTACTTGAAATCCTTTCAAGGGCCATTGCGTATGTTTGAGATGCACTACTATATAGTTACAAAACAGTGACATAATGGTTTAATTGCATTTTTTGTTATATACCTATGTAGCCAAGTGCACTCATTTTCTGAGCTTGTACTACATTGGTTCACAGACAAATCAAAAGATCTTTTTAATTTAAGACTGGTTTCCGTTTGCATTATTAAGGGTCATTACATTTCAAACACTGAGATATAGTGCATATAATGTCTGGGTCTTTGCTGCTCTGTGTGTTTTTATCGCTTTCTGAGGAGACCATGCATGTTGGTGAGACCTCACTTAGGTCAATCAACACACTCAGGTCATTCTGAACAAACAAAGACATGCTTATTGGTGTTTGTAAACCACTTCTCTCCTCTAACTCCTTTCCACAGTCAGTTGACACCTTAAAAATTATTGTAGAAAACTGCATCTTGTGGTAGTGCTGCTCATTCGCTGCTACAGAAGGAAATGCACAGCAAGTGAACTGAATTAAATGGAGGTCATTCAGCACATTTGCTGAATATGAGTCTGGTATGCTGTGCATCGGCACTGACTGAATTATTTATGGCCTGTTATGCTATGCCAGCGTTCAGAGGCTCTTCTTGAATACCTGCTATTTCCATGTCTTGTCAATCCTTGTTTACTGCTCTGAAATATTGAATGTACAATCCTTGAAATTGTATTCTGCTACTGTACCCGTTCTGACTCCAGATTTCTCATTCCTTAAACCACCCTGAATACTGATTTACTGAAACCTTCATCCAGTAAGAAGGGGCTGTTTGTTACCACATCATGGAAATGGATTCAGCATTCAGTGTATTTCTCTGCACCATTAGAATATGAAGGAATGGTTGTGATGCATTTATTAGCCCTTATTTAATGTAGTTTTTTTCCCACTTGCTTTTAAAAAAAAATATTATTATCAACCTGAGTACATGCTTGGCCTATTTTGGTGTCCGTTTGTTTGTTTTGTCCTATCATATCTATTTAAGAAATTATTATTGTCTTTGTATCTCTTCTTGGAAAGAATAAGACTTTCAGTTATTTCAATAGTGATTTCAAATCAGTGTCAGTAATATTCCTTTTTATAAAATTTGTGCCATAATTTTTGGATGTAATGATGGTCTCACTTCAGTGATTTCATGGATTAAATGTACTGGATGGACTATGAATCTGATGCAGTCATATTTTCTCCAGTCATTTTCTCACTTCTCATCAGCTCTTTTTTTAAACAATGTAATTTAATTAATATATTTTATGATTTACAGAATAGTTTTAGTCATTATAGTAATAGTTTTATATGATCTCATGTTAGTCAGAATTTAACTGAGAAATGTCTTCTATCAAATTGAATTCCATTTCAGTTTTTGGATTTCTGAAAACTGTAGAACTGTAAATTGAATGTAAACTCAAGGAATTAGAATTACAAGAAATTCCCATTTAAATTCTGAATTTGAATTGAGGTAGGACGATGTAGAACTCTAAATTGAGTTTAAAATTAAGCTATAGTTAGAAAATTAAAATTATAGCTATAATTAGAATAAAATGACAAGAAAGTCACAAAAGTACATAGTAGCGTACAAGTGTATTTCTTTAATTATTATTATCATTATAATTGAATTTTTTATTATAAATAGCCCATACACTTTATCATACACATGAGGTATTTCCAGAATCAAATAATTACAGTAAAACTATTCAATTTATGCAATAATTAAAGTTTTCTGAAAATATAATGATGGGCATTTTGTGGTGCATTGAGAAACACTTTTGTTATGTTTATATATATATATATATATATATATTGTTTTTTTTTTTGTTTTTTTTTTGAAGTTGTCCGAATTGAAACTAAATCACTGAGTGTATTTTCCTGTCATTTTAAATCAACATCGCACAAACGAACTAAGTTGCAAGGAAGGCATTTCTTATTTTTTTGAGTCTGAGTCTACACGTGCCCGCATATGTGAAACTTACATGTGTTTCGTACAGACTCTGCAGTAGAGGGGTACATTTTTTGTATGTTTTATTTTTATTTTTTTTTTATTTTTTTTTGTAGAGGGGTACATTCTACTTTACCAAAGTCTACTGAACAAATGGACGGAAATACGTCACTGGCCGTCGGTGTCAAGGGTCACGCTCGCTCTTTCTACTTCCTTTCCCGTTATCGTCGGCTATTGAGCACCATCAGTAAGTTTCATACGCGAGAAAATAATCCATGAACATCTATAAAGAAATAAGGCCCGCGGGCTTCCTTTCATGTTACTTACAGAGCGAATACCCCTGACGACTATCTAAAGTGTGTATTGTCTGAATATGTTGCCTGCTTTGAAAGATGATGGGTTTAGAATTCGTTCCGTCTCTTGTCTGCTAGTGACATGAAAGCTTAACTGTCCGTCGATGGCTGAGGAGCTGCGTTTATTATTGCACGTGTGCAAGAAACAAATTAATATGTGAATAAAGATCAAATAAAGTTCCGTTGTGGAAGGGCTAGGATATTTATTCCGCCTTGTTAATACAGCTGTATAATTACCAGTTAGCATAGTGCTATGCCTAGATCGATCTTGTTTTATAAACGTGCTGCCCAGAAGAAACAAGTTGCATTTATTGCATCTTTTTAACTATGACAAGTTATTTTGTTGCGTTATTATTATTTTTCTCATTGTAAGAGGTTTGGCTACACTAAGTGCTTGTATTGTGCTACTTGTCTTGTATTCTGGTTTTGCTTTTGGAGCTAATGTAATGTACACATGTTTTTCAGCGATGGGCAAGTTTATGAAACCTGGTAAGGTGGTGATGGTCCTGGCTGGACGGTATGCCGGACGCAAGGCTGTGATTGTCAAGGTACTTTTAATGTTTCACAGTATCAAGTAAAAGATGTTTGAGTATAACACGTTGAGAGTTTGTATATTGACAGTGTTGTGCTCTGTTTCTCGTGGCAGAACATTGATGATGGCACCTCAGACCGTCCTTACAGCCATGCTCTGGTCGCAGGCATTGATCGTTATCCTCGTAAAGTCACAACAACCATGGGCAAGAAGAAGATTGCCAAGAGGTCCAAGATCAAGGCCTTTGTGAAGGTGTTCAACTACAACCATCTGATGCCAACCAGGTATGCAGACCCTGCACAGTCAGAGTGACGTCTGTGCACAAATTCATTCAGGTTCTCTATTGGAATTGACTAATGTTTTCAGAGTAACACTTTCTGTCTATTGACACAAGTCCTCTTATTCTCACCAAGGCTGCATTTATTTGATCAAAAATACAGTAAAAAAATGGCAATATTGTGAAATACTGCTAAAATTTAAAAGAACTGTTTACTATTGTAACATTTTAAAATAGTTTATTCCTATGATGGTAAATTTGAATTTTCAGCAGCCATGCCTTCAGTGTCACATGATCCTTCAGAAATCATTTGCTGCTCAAGAAACATTTCTTGTTTATTTTGAGAATAGTTGTGCTGACTTTTTTTTTTTTTTTAATTCTTCAATGAATGGAAAGTAAGCAGCATGTATTTGAAACAGAAATCTTTTGTAATATTATGAAGGTCTTTACTTGTGATTTGATCAATTGAGAACATGGAGAATAAAATCACTTTTCCAAAGAAAGCCCTGTTGACCTTTAAAGGAACACTCCACTATTTTTGAAAATAGGCTCATTTTCGAACTCCCCTAGAGTTAAACAGTTGAGTTTTACAGTTTTCAAATCCATTCAGCCGATCTCCGGGTCTGGCGGTAGCACTTTTAGCTGCAGCTTAGCATAGATCATTGAATCTGATTAGACCGTTAGCATCTCGCTCAAAAATGACCAAAGAGTTTCGATATTTTCCCTATTTAAAACTTGACTCTTCTGTAGTTACATCGTGTACTAAGACCGACGGAAAATGAAAAGTTGCGATTTTCTAGGCCGATATGACTAGGAACTATACTCTCATTCCAATGTAACTACAGAAGAGTCAAGTTTTAAATAGGAAAAATATCGAAACTCTTTGGTCATTTTTGAGCGAGATGCTAACGGTCTAATCAGATTCAATGATCTATGCTAAGCTACAGCTAAAAGTGCTACCGCCAGACTCGGAGATCGGCTGAATGGATTTGAAAACGGTAAAACTCAACTGTTTAACTCTAGGGGAGTTGGAAAATGAGCCTATTTTCAAAAATAGTGGAGTGTTCCTTTAACTTTTGAACAGTAGTGGATATAGACGCAACTTTTGATGACTGATTCAGATTGAATTATGGTTATACTTGTCTAATTGGTGTACTATATAATTCCACATCCTTTATAATACCCAGAGTCACATACAGATTTGTTGATGTGGTGCTTTCTTGATGAAACTTAAGCAGTTGCAAATACTAATTAATAGATGTGTCTCGGGTGTACCTGTATTGATATTGTTTTATAAATTTAGGGTTTAATTTGACCACTTTAAAATCGGCAGGATTTAATTATGTACATTTGTCTAATCAGTGCATCATCTTTCCTCAGATACTCTGTTGACATTCCTCTGGACAAAACTGTTGTCAACAAGGATGTGTTCAGAGATCCTGCTCTGAAGCGCAAAGCCAGGAGAGAGGCCAAGGTTAAGTTTGAGGAGAGGTATGTTTTTGTCACCAGATCTCAACTACTTAATTTTACAATTAAATTGTATGTTATTGATTAATGCTTACATGTTATGTTAAGAGCTAGATTAAAACTTTATTTTAGTGTAGTCCTAAATTTAGTGAAGTCCTAAGTTTGATGCAGAAAAAAAGAGTGTCTTGCTGACTTTAGCTTCTGTTCAGAGATGACTGTAGGAACAGTTTGATCTTGTTGGGCACTGGACATTGTTTTCTTTGATACACTCAATATGATAAGCATGCATTGTCCTACATGTGGTGATACATTGATGATAGTGAATGTTTTCTTTTATAGGTACAAGACGGGCAAGAACAAATGGTTCTTCCAGAAGCTCAGATTCTAAGCTTTCTTTGTTTTCGCAAATAAATCTGTACAAATCTCACAAAGTGGTCCTTGCCTTATTTCTGTTGGCTTTGGGTTCTTATTTTGTATTATTACTTGAGACATATTAATTTTTTTTAATTGATTGCATACATAGCTTAAGGTTTATAATCTCCCATTATTGTCATCAAAACAATATTCTTATTAAGGGTGTTTAGGGTCATCTGTCTTGTTTGAAGTTTGAACAGTTCACGTTGTAAGAATGAGTGTTATCATACCAAGTGTTACATCACTAATTTTTCACCCATTTGTGAACAGTATTAACAACTGTATAAACGCTGCAATAAACAACCAAGTGGTAATGCAGACCCACACGGTTTAGATTCCATCACTTTTTTAAACTCTTGAATATTGTTAAAAATGGTTGACCTCACCCAGAGTTGAATGAACTAACTCAATTCAGCTGTTCTTTAACTGAAAACTCAGAATTTCCCATCTCGGTAAGTCTACTCAGAGTTCAAGTTTTAGTGTCTTAAACCTTTCTGGAATACACCCCTGGATTGTGATTGCTCTGCATGTAAAAACAAGACAAGCTTATAAAGTTAATTAGTTTATTGCATGCTTGTGTGAGGGAAGTGATCTCTCAGGATTTGAGAGGGAAACCTTTTAATAAACCTTTTGAGGTTGCATGGCTGAAAACAAGCCTTTGTTTCTGTTCTGTGCATTTTGATGGGTTGCAACTGAATTATATGTAAAAGTGAATTTGTTTATAGCCATGACTGATGATGGAAAAGCTGTATTTCTAAAGGGATAATTCACCCAAAAAATTTCCATCCAAACCTATATTATTTTCTTTAATCTGATGAACACAAAAAGAAGTTATTTTGTTTAATGCTTTTTGTTCTTTGACAATTTTATACATGACCAGTGAAATTAATTTAGTCAAAGCAAGTTATCCGGGTCTAAACATATATTTTAAACTTTGAACTGCCAGTGTA